ATAAGACGAAAACCCCAGGCACAAACCTAGCCTTGGAGTCTGAGGTCACCTCCTTGGACCGCCATACTTTTTGCTACTTATTTTTTTAAATCAAAAATTTTAAATGCATGATACTTTTACATTCAATTTACAATAGGAATATCGCTTTGCTACTTTAGTGGATCTCATTAATGTTTAGAAAGTATTATTCACTTGAAAACGAAGCAAATCATTCATTTCTGTTAATATTTTGCAAAACACTTACAGAACTCAAAATATTAAAGTCTTATTCTAATAACTGCACCTCGTCACGAAAACTTTCACAAACTTCAGCCAAATTCTTGAGATTAAAATAACGGTTTGATGAACTGAGCATTTATTCCGCAACTTTACTAAAAATTAATTTATACAGTCTAATCTTAATTCTCACACATTATTCTGGCAAATATAAACATATCCACTGCACGCTTCTTCTGGATGCAACCATACAAATGTTATTCATGTCCTGTTTCTTAATGGATTAATATCTGAAAACTTTTATTTGTACCATCCAAGAATATAATTTTTTACGAAAGAAACCTATTTAAAACAAGCTGAATTCCAAAATCTATTATTTATTTATTTGCTGGATAATGAATAAACTTGTGTTCGTAATTAAAGATTTAAATTTATATTCCTATAACTGATTGAGGCCGTTTTCAAATGTAGTTTTTCTATTATATGGAGTTCACAAACAAAAAAAATGAAAAACAAATGTCTATTTACTAAATTCTATTATGAATATCAGAAATAAAATTTTGGGAAATAAACTGTATAAGACAAAAATAGCGGATTAATAATACATAAGAGATTATTACAAAACACAGTGGAAATAACATAAAGAACAACTAAAGACTTAAGTCAAAACATTTAAGACAGTATTCTTATCAATGTAACAAACGATATGCAAACAATACACACTTATGACGATACTTGAGGGTATGTTTTAATCATTGGGAAAACCTTAAATATGCCAGCATAATAAAACAGTTACACCTTAAACCATATCTAATGCTGTAACTTAGACTTTGCATTCAAATTCATGGCTCTTCAATACTATTAACAAATGCAGACAAGTCTGCAATCCACTTTAACCTTAGTATTTCCAAACTTTTTGGCTTCAGTTCTCAAAGAATTCTTTGAGAAACTATATGATTTCGCTAGAAGGAATACGAATCTACCTTACTTGTTTGAGCTTTTCAAAACTCCTGAAACCCCAGTTACAAAGACAGTATGGCAATTTCCGTGAAATTGCAATAAAGAATTTCAACATTTCGCAAACGATCTTTTTATGTGGAAGTGCTTCCTTACGTCTACATAATGCTGTAACCAATGCCTGATTACGCTTATGACTTATAAACGGTAGTTGAGAACGAATTGCAAAATTTGGTTGCAACAAATTTTCCTCGTGTTATTCAGGAAATTAATTCTTGTTTTATAAACAGAACAATAAATCCTAATATTTTACATTGAATATAGCGAGTTACAACAACTGAATAATCTTTTCAATATATTTACTTCACTCAACAACGACAACAGTACATACAATGCTGACTTCAGATCAAAACGCTTGCGAAATGAACTTGAGCACGAGCTTTACAATGTCACACCAAACTGTACTCAGCATTATATGCATGCACGTATATACGAAAAGGGAAAGTAACTCAAATCCATTTCAAACAATTGAAAACCCGAAAATAATATAACTGAAATTATGCTTTTCAAGCAAGTCAAACAGCACTCAAGAGAGTGGATGTCGTCGATGAACAAAGTGCAAAGTCAATTTTGAAGATTTGAATTTTTGTTGGAGATCAAACAGCGCTTCAATATAATATATCTACAACTCCAAGAACAGAAGGAAACAATTGTTATTATTACAAATAACCAAAATCTTCTACGAATTTTGAGATTTCTTGCTTTGCTGTCACCCTTTAAATAGCTCGCCAATATCTTCAAACTAATCATTACATGTACTTTGAAAGCTTTCTTCATCATTTACATGATTCAAAAGCTTCACAAAGTACACATAAACTTCTGAAAGTCAGAAGTTGACCTTATGTACCGCTATTTAATCAATTGAAAATGACAACATAGCAAATTTTAATTGCAAATTGAGAAACCACACATAAATAAAGGCGATGTTTCTTTACATTGAGCAAAATTAATTCTTTATTCGAACTAAAACATTTTGCTGACTTTTGCCCGAGTACTTTGCTCAGTTTTCGATACACGCAAAGGTTTTTTTCTTGTTTGTATTCTATATCCACCATTTCCAAAAACGCTCAAGCAGAACAATACCCTTGATGTATCTTGAAAATAAATCATATTTTTTAAGCCGATAAAGAACTGCATTACTCACTCACAACCACTCTTCAGAACTCAACATTAATTATTAGATAGTATAAGATGACTGACCAGAAAATAAACAAAGTACTTCATTGAATGAAATTTGAATCCAAAAAAACTATTAGAATAATCATGAGTTCAATTGTAATAACATGTGAGAGCAGAATTGGTCAAAACATTCATAATTTAGTAATAATCAAAAATTCACCAGTACTTAAAAAATCTACATTCGTACAATACAAACTTAAAGAACAGCAGAACAACATACCATTATAAAACTTCGCCATCTTCAAGTTCTTCATTTTGTGGTGGTGAAGGTGGAGGAGGTAAAGCTGAAAGCATATGAATTGAACTACCTGAAACACTAGACAATAAAGACAAAGAAGAAAAACCGCAGCTTAAATTTTCAACACACGAAAATAGGATATAACAAAATCAAAACAATTTATATTTGCGAAGCATTTTTTCTTTGTTGGAAAACTCTTGCTCCCACTATAATTTACAAAGTACAAAACGGGAAAACAACGAAAATTTTCTTTATCATATTACGCAAAAGCGCTCGCAATTGAAAAAAAAGGAGGAAACACTAAATCTAAAAGCAAGCACAGACTAAGACTATATGACATTACTGTGAAAGCACAATCTGCAAACATACAGAGAGAAACAAATAATACCTGGCAAAATTAATACAAAAAGTTAATTGATAAAAACAGGCAAAGCACTAGCTAAACTTGTACGAGGATAAGGTGAATAAGGCACGCGCGACCATTCAGAAGAACGTTTACTGCTATTTCGGTGCCTACGTCTCGGCGATAAATAACGTGATGATAACTTGTAAACATATCGTCGGCAATAGTAGCGTCGTGAGAAATCTAAATGATGCATGCACAATGGAAAAAGCATGCGCTAGAAAGGATATTAATTGCCTGATGCAAGCATTTTAAGAACATTCTGTAATTATGAAGACAATTTATTACTCCAAAAAATGACTTAATACCTTGCTTAATTAAATTTAATGACTTAATACCTTGCTTAATTAAATTTCAGTTGAGATGTCTTTGATTCATTTCATTTAAGTGGTAAAAGGCAAGTATGAAACAACAGCAAAAGTGCTCTCGAAGTATACTTTTCACACCCTCAAAATTATATAATTTATTTCAACGCAACGCAGCTTTCGAATCACATGCAAAATTATCCCATGAAGCACGTAAAATACGATAAAATTAAAATCAGCAAATAAGTAAACTAAGAGAAAGTTAAAAATTTAAGATTGTTGGTTCGCTTCATATATTACAGTTAAAATCGTTACTGCAGTTCTATTCTGGGAAACAACAGATAAAATTGGTCAATATGCAGCAACCAACCCGAACATTAAGTAAATGCTAGCATCCTAAGTAATGCAAAAGTGCTTCAAAACAATTTCCTTTCTTGTAGTGGAAACCATTACTTGAATAACCAGATCCCGAACGATTCCCAGGACTCGAAAGGCGTTGTGATGATCGGTACATACTGGATGTTGTTGCAGTTGAAGGTGAAGAAGGTCGTGCACGGGAACGTTTGTAATAAGAACTTCCTGGGTCGGGAGTGCTTAATAAAGGTTCACGCGATTTTGTGCGAACTGTATTTGATGACATATAATGCTGAAACATTAGCCAATTCAGATAAAACATTGCAAATGAAGTAAACCAAACTTGAATATTCCTTCTTGATCTTGAAAACATCGTTAAAAACAGATGCAGAATTATATGGAGAACACTTACTCTGTGATTCGACGACTCCGATGGTTGTGAAAGACGGGAAGAAACACTGGACATACAATTAGAATAAAATTCATTTGTTACAGTCCAATTGCTGGCAGCACTAGTTCTATGTGTACTTTCTCCGATATGATTTGCGCGATTCGATTGCAATACAGGTAATGAACTATACCTACAAATTAAAACCAAGAACTCATGATTTATTTGTCTCATGAAAAATGGATCACCAAATACAACATAATAACAGCTAAACATTTATTAAGAAACACAATATTAAGAGAAATTTACCAATATTATACGCCAATGAATGCCGCATCGAAATTAGAAAAAAAACAAACTTGGAATTTTGTGAATTTCCAGTCATTAAAGATCCAGTACTTTGTGGCTGAGGTGTTGGTAGAAGTGCATTCAAAGGAGCCACTTGTCGCGATTTCTTTGATATTACAGTATCATCACGCTGACGTATAGTACCTTCTTCTCGCGATCTATTATTGCCACAATTATCCCTCTTAAGTGATTGTGAAGTTTCATCACGTAACCTTGAGATTGAGCTACTACCTGAGATCACATGGTTCGAGAAAGCTGATGAGCTGAAAGCATCCTCGCTTCTTATTCCAAAGGAAAAAAAAATGCAAAAAAGCTATTTTCATCTATATAATTTCTAATTACTGACTTGAGATGCTCCGACGACTTCGGTGTTACAGCCTTTGGAGTAATATTATTTAATGATGTTGTTGTCGAGGAAGAACTACTTTCTGGCTGACCAACAATAACGTTTTCATGTGTCCTTTTGCGATGATGTGAAGCTATAGGAAAAAAGTAAAGATATTAAGGAGAAAATCTGAACTACAAAGTTATTAAACCTAGTCTTAAGAATTATAAACATCATGCAACTGTGTTTTAATCTACCTTCTGAGTTTCCTTTTTCCATCCTTTTGAATCTTATATCTTTCTCATGATCATCTGTCTTTATTCTTTTGTGTTTTTCTAGATCACTGCCTCCCAATTGTTTAACAGATAGCAACGGTTTCACATTACCAGCGGAAGATGACTTCTGCGCATTTGACTTTGGAGTTGAGGGCTTCGGAACCTTAGAACATTCACCTGGTTTAGAGATAACCTGATCCCTGTTCTGATTCTGCTGCTTCTCTGCAAACTAATGAATAAAGTTATTCTTCACATCGAATATAATGACATGCATCAAACTTTGATTTAAATTTAGAACTTTAAACCATATATAGCGATTTTATGATTACATTTAGTACAATAGAAAAATGAAAGCCAGTACATGACTTGAACTAGTTTGGTCCATTCATTTCATGTGCAAAACGCTATAATACAAAAATATACCATTCGCAATGATTGGAAGAAGGGGTAATTCCAATCCTCTGCTGACATTTTGTAATGGCACATCAGGTCGCATAAAATTTCGGCGTTGAGTCTGTGGGAGGTTTTGAGAACTACCGGGTTGATGTTGTGCTCCTATAAAAAATATTTTTTAATGAACAAAGTTAGCTTAAGACCCCTTTTTTTACAACTCGATACTAAAACCCCATGTTTATCTAAAATCAACAGTTCTGAAAGTATTTGCGAAAACCATAATTCAGTCATCTGTGGTAGCTGATACTTTAAAAAAAATGAGAATATATGCTTTATTGTTTTCTAACCACTGTTTCGCAGCTTATAATCACTGATATCGATGCGTCGTGCAGGCTCAGTACTTTTCCCACCATTAAAGGTATTAAGCTGAGGAGCTACAGGTGGCGGTGGCAAAGTTGCAATCGAAGGTACAAGCACTAAAATTTTTATAACTGCAAATTTCACGACCTTTAGAATTCAGTCTAGAAATACTACAGTTTTGCAGAGTTCCTAATGAATGAAAGTTTTACTGCGGAAATCAAGTTTTCTAAAACCACTCACAATTTTGCCCTTGGTGCTGTAGATGCGATTGCTGGGATGATGACTGTTGCTGAAGTTGATTTGGATTTTGTGGGGTTCCATTCTCTCTTTGGGAGCTACGCATTGCGTATTTCCTAATATTGAGTGACTCTCCATAGGTTTTATAAATATGAGAAAATTCCTCAGTTAATTCTGAAAAATTAAATGATTTGCTGGATGAACCTTAGACAAAAAAGGAAATAATATTGCCAATTTTAAAAAGTAACATGAAAATAAAACTAAAGATTAGTTTCATAGCAAATAAATCCTTCAAAGTTCTACAAATATCTAAAAAATAAAAACTCACTCAACAACTTATCAAGTGTCATCATTGAATCAACTTGCTTAAACCATGGTACTTCATCGGGTGTTGTCTGAATCTGAAATTGAACACCCTGAAATGCCATCTGAAATTATTTCCTCTAAGACAATACAAACTATAAAAACCTTAGTTCTAGATTCTGACACTGACATCTATTAAAAAATATATCTTTTGAATGATTTAAAACTATATCATATAAATCTTTGTTAGATGATTCTAAAATTATAAAAGCATCAACTAGATCACGTAACAATAGTTACTGTGCAAAAAACGATCGGTCTCATAACATAAAACTTTAGAAAGCTAACAAAAATGACATGAAAATTGTAGTAGGCCTCAAAATACAATATCGCCACCCATATATATTTAACTAGCATACTTTTCTAAGATTCTCTAACTCAAATTGCTAAAGTCACCTTAACTACTAATGATTTCTTCTACAAAAGAATTTATCACTTTTAGAAAGCAAAATAAAAAAATGACTCCCCGGAAAAATTTTATAATACAATCAAAAATATAAAAAAATAATATTCCTCAAAGACACGCAAATACTCCAACACGATTCATAACTGCCTAGTAACAGTAATTTTTTTCATTTCTCCTCATATGCTCAAACGCTATCATTTTTTTATCCACAAAAGGTGATAAAAAGCATTTAAAAAGAATAATAAATATACCCTGTCCAATTTCGTATAATATGAAGTTCAAGTGCGATGCAAAGAAAAAAATATCTTGAATAATGAACATATGTATATACAGTTTCTCTTCTTCCACATTAAAGAGGAAACCAGGTTTTTCTGGGCATATTTACTTAGTAGAAATTCTTTTATTTCAAGCAAAATCTAATGTCATATCTATTTCTTGACCAAAAAAAAATAGAAATGATATCCCTAGAGTTAAATTATCTAAAGCAGACAAACGAACTCGTCTCATACATGAAATAGCTTCCCTTATACTTATCTGATGAATTGCAATTAGGTATTAAAAGAGTCGATAAAAAGATAAAAATACAACTTTTGCAATACGCTCCAAATTGAATTTATCTTCAAAAACAAAATAATTAAAGAGCTATAATAAAAAAATAAACTACAAGAAAATATGCCGATAAAGGTTACCTTGGTTTATTTCTGATAAGCAAATTCTCTTTTCTGAATATAGATATTGATAGAGTTTTAATTATGTGCTGCATTAATATGGTTCTGATTGTGCATGTTTTTGTACGTATGTACTCGAGTGTGGCTTACAACAAAGCATATAGTCTAATTTTGTTATCGAGTTTTTTTCTGCTTGCTAACTGCTAATTTGAGCCAAAATAATACTGCATGCATGTGGCTGACTGTTAATGGCTAGCGTTTATCTTGTGATTCGTTTGCGAGTTTCATAGACTCATATTGAACTGCACTTATAATGGTAAATTCGCGCGACCGTGCAAACTTTCAATAATTGGCATGAAGTACGATGCACGATCCAAAAAAACGGTACCAAAAGAAAGCAACTTTATTTCTTCTCACTTCGATTTAAAAAAGTTGCAAAAATGAGTTATTGATCTCAAGTTTCCGAAGGTACCTCAAGTTTACAGTGCATTTCCCACATGTAACTTCTTGCACAATACGAAGCTGCACGGTCAGCAGCAACCAATCTAGGCAGTCTACGAGTGATTTTTGATCTCTGTAAAAATTTTCAAGAAAACTGACACGCGTTAACAATTCCGCAACATGCAACTCTATTGCAGAATCTTAAAAAAAAAACGCGTCACAGCTCTCTATGAATTATCTGCTACGCTGCGCATCACGCATGCAACCACATCACAAAGTAGCTTTAAGGGTCGGTGTTGAATCTGGGTCGTTTTTGAGTAGGTAGTGACCTACATTATTAAAACTCTAAGTTTAAAATGCAAACGATTAGGCAGTAATTTCGCTGCTCGCTTTTCTGAATACAACAGCTACCTGCAAAATATCATTATTTTTGCTTATCGTTAAACAAACTCAAATACACCTACTCTTCCGAAAGATCCAAAAATTAAATGAGTCCTAAAATATAAAGCATGGGCGCCAATCAAGCTGAAAGGCACAATGTGCTGTTCATGCAATTTTACTCTGCCTCCAAAAACTGCAATGCAAAGGACCTCATAAAACTCAGGCATAAAAAAAAGTATTTTACTTCAGGTGCATGCTTAGTATATTTAGTGCAATAGTATTATATTACTTTTCTTACTACAGATTAGTGATGTCAACAACACAGTAAAGCGCGAGCTGAAAACTGCACATTCTTTAACTCACATGAAAGAAGTTTTTTAAATTTTTGTCACGATTACCTTCTGTTACAGCATAGCGTGGTGGGGCAAAAATAAATCTCCAACATTACTTACTTCAAATTCTGCCCAAAGGCAAGCCATCTGAATACAAACACAAGCTATCGATTTTGCAGTGTAACGAACACCCCAATTCGTCATATGCAGCCTTAAAAAAATGGAGTTCAGTAATCTCACATTCTTTTTAACAAAATACTAGATAAATGAATTACCAGAGTAAATATAAAAGTATGCACATATATTTAAATTCCAAAACACATTTACTCAGATGACAAAAAATAATGTAAGTATTCAACAGCATACGAAAAACTCACATATCACTAGCAAACCAGTAAGCTATTTCAGATATTCTTCTATTTCCTGAGGCATCTAAAACATTTTATATTACATAATAAATGATTTTTTCCGTACATACAGAAACTATTTTGACTCTACCGGAAAATGTGTCTTAAACGGTAAAACAAAGAAAAATAGCTAATAAAAATCATTAAGTGAATGAAGTCTGAAGAATTCTAAGAACTTTTACTATTAGGAACGAATGAAAATAACAAAGTGATAAAGCATAGCTTACGTAAGAACCAATCTTGAAAACTAGAATCTAAAAAAATTTTATTTCTCAACAAAATTTATACTAAATACCATTTCGTACAATAATAACGCATCTTATCTTCTCAGCTACACAAACAAGAAGAAATTAAAAACATCAAAGCTAACCTCGTGCAAATTTCTGCATATGGGTCAAAACGTAAGGATGCGGGATGTCCACAGATAAGTCGAATGCTATATAAAAGTGGTACATATATTATGCATAAATTTATCTTTATAGTCATACTTATTATATGCACTGAATTTATTTGATGCTGCTAAATTTGTCGAAAGTCATTATTGGTTTTTGTCGTCGCAAAACCCTAAAACTCTACAAGAAAACGAATATTATTTTTCATATTTTTCTGGATATATTAAAATAATTCAGAAATAATTACCAATTGTTTGCAGAACAAGGTTTTCCAGAGTAACAATCAACTGCGAAGCATCATGAAGACGCTAAAAGTTACATTTTTCGAATATATACGATGATTTTAAGAGGCGTAAATTCCAATTTTAGCAATGAAATATTGAATGAGAGAAGACTAACACTTTGGTCAATGTGTTGAGAGTATGGAAACTTAATCGCCCACCACACTCGTACTACGTGGTCTAACTTACGAGGGCATTCTTCTGATTTTCCCGCTAAAAACAGGCATGCAGCAGCAATATCCTGAAAAAGCTTCTTAAATCAATTATAGTATATAAATTCTGATTACGAGTTTGGATTAGTTTAAATAATGCAGTAATTAAGATTTGTAAAATAAAGGATCAGTAAAAAACCTATATGATACTCAATTCTTCTGTGTTTAATCAATTATTATATAAAGTTCTCACCCGAGGATCAAACTTGAAGAAGGAGTGAAAGACGAAAAATCGATGCATATGCATCATTGCAGCACAAATGCAAAGTTGAGATCTGAAGTAAAGCTATAAATATGACGAACCAAAACGACAAAAAATGAAATCATTTCATTTAAGATGAAGATACGATAATTTGAAAATTGTTTACAGTGTACTTTCAAAATTTTACAATTATACATTATCATGATTCATCATGATATTATTCTGATTTTCCCGCTAATGCATTAACGCAAAACATTTAAAATAATCCGTGAATTAAGAAATAATGCACAAATCAGAAATTTTGCATAAAATAACTTACATCCGAACACGAGATTCATGATTCAACTTGTCAGCCATTTGATGAATAGTGTTAGCTGCAACACGCCGTCTCTTCAGTTCCTGAATTTCAGATTCTCTTAGGCTGTAATGAAGCTATAGAAATGCATTTGTATAGATGAAACATATAAAACATTAATTCTTAGAAATATGTTCTCAAAAAAACACTATGAGAACATAATACTAAAAATTCCACAAACCATGTTTTGTAATTCAATTTTAAAAAAATCTTAGTCAATTCAGTTTTGCTATACATATCAGGATATTTGTTAAATACTAAACAAAACGACGAAACTTCCAATACAATTTTTATGTTGCTGAAACTCATCATTTCATAAAAAACATTAGATAACAAAAGTCCTGCTACTGAAGTATTTTAAAAACAGAAAAAAACTATAATTCTGTTTCAAGATAAAGAATTTGAATGATAATTAAAGATCTTCATACCTCTTCTGGCGTCATGCCTTCTCTTATACTGGGGACTTTCATCAACTGTTCATGACTAAAAATCCAACGAGAATACGATGAGGTTGAAGCAAAAGCTGTAGCTGCCGCAGCTGACTGACGTTCACTTGACCCTATCGGTTGTAATGCATTATTTGTTATTACGCTTACATTTGCCGTTGACATTGACAACTGTAAATGGGAATTCGTTCAAACAATATTATTTTTTGCACAACACACAATGCAACCAGCGAACTTAAATATCTAAACTCCCCATCATGAGGAAAACAAGAAACACAATTCCAACTAAGCAATGCAGCATCGACACTTTTTTAGAACAAATTAAAAGCAGAGAACTCTTAGCAAGAAAAGTGACTTTAAGAATATAAAAACCCATTACTAAAAAACAGTAGAAAAAACAAGAAAGAACTCAAAACAGCAGGATGATACCATAAAGGCTTAACACTGGAACTATATATACGTATAATTTTAGTAAATTCGCAAATCTCTACCCTTCATTCAAGAAAACGAAAGAAACTGAAAAGAGTCAAGCATTACACTTATTTTGCTGATGACAATGAAAGATTTGCAAGAAACAAAAGAAATTGGACAAATCAGATGAAATAAAGTATAGTCTGCTAGAACTTCACACGAAAATAAAAAATTGACACAAAAGCGCATCACAATCGGTTAGGAGAAAACCCCTACGTCCGTACAACTAGCAAACAAATATGGTAAATACCTAACATAGACTTGACTTACGTGACAAATACATTTCAAGAACCTCCCGGACGCGAACGCGTTAAAGCACACGCGTGCGGTCGGAAATCCTGCTGCAGCAAATAATAATGCGCGTAAAGCGGTATTTCAAATTCAGTTACAATATGCAATTTGTATGACTCATACAAAAATTTCCTCATTCAAACTTGTATTCAAAAAAATTGTAGCTTAATTTTTTTTTCGTGTGTTTATGATTTAATTAAATTAATTATATATTCAGAAAAAAAACTTCATTATGATATAACTTTTTTATGGCTTATGAAGTAATTCTTAAAAATTATTAAAAGAGATTAAAATTGATTTACACTTCGTTTTATACTTTCTTCTGAGCATAGCAAATGCTATTTCCTTAATATTTCAGCAACATTTAACAAAATTAATATCATATTTATCATTCAGTCTATTGAGGCTAATCTTAATACAAAAATCTTAGTAATTTTATCCAAACATTGTCAAAAAAAAATCCTGAAACAACTTAATCTATCCATTGCAACAAAAATCATTGAAATTAAATTTTTATAAAATGTATACACGTGAATTTGCTTGTAAATGGACGTGTTTTACGTGTTTTACTCAGTTGATGTTAACACTAAGTTGTATGTGCAAAATAGAAAGATAAAAGAAGATTGAAAATAGACAGATTAGAAGAGGCTTGAATACGAAGAGCAAAGGCTTGGAGGCGGCGCTGTTTGCAAAGCTTAAGGCCCTGTCTCATGTACAGGCAGGCCTATAATCAGAAGCACTTTCTCCTTTCCGTTGCTATTCCTTTCATCTGAAAAATTTCTTCTAATACTTTCAACTTTTTGGCTATTTTCAATTATTTGGCATATTTATTCTTGGCGTATGTAAAGAAGCCAACTAAAGATGTGCAGTATTTTTAATTTTTTACGTATTCTTAAGAGACTTCTCAAATTAGCTAACTTTTTTACTTAATTATGCAATATTTCTCTAATTTTTTTGATTACATGTAATTTAAATTTTTTTTTTTTTGAAAATTGTGCGAAACTAATTAATTGATTAATTTTATAACTTATAAAAAAGCTTTCGTTCAATATTTGCTACATTTTTTGAAAAATGAAAAATTATTAGCAAAAAATAAAAGAATAAAATTATTTTTACTAAGAAATGTATGACTTTATTGCATGATGTTAGCTTATTAACTACGAGAGGTACACTAAAACCAGAAAGTTAAATTACCTAAATAAATGATCTATTACTGTTAGAAAATGAATAGACTTTTTGACTTTTTAGCCATTTTTTACCGTAAGATAATTAAAAATTGGGTTATTGATGGAAACGATTGGATGAAATAAACTAAAAAAGTAATTTTTGAATACTTTCATTCCTTAATTAAACTTTTCCTTGAAGTGATCTTCATGTAAACGTCATACAAGCGTGAGATATTGACTTAAATGTGAAATAGCAAGCATTTTTGCCTACTAGAAATCAAAATTTTGCATAATTGTTACTTTTTATGGTGTTAAATGACAAATTAAAAGACATATAACACAATTGCAAGCTCCTAACTTCTTACAATTTTTAATTACTTAATATTTAGCTTTTAACCTATTGTTAAAATTAAAGTCACGGAATGTCTTGAAAAATTCAATCTAAATAAATATATACATATTTTGGTAGAATTCACATTAAAAATCAATTTTAGATCATAATTGCAGCTGCTTGCTTAGTTTGAGCATCAGATAAGTCAAAATTATTTTAAAAAATATTCAAAGTAATTGAAAATATATTAAAGTTATAAATTAAAATTTTAATCTGGAACTTTTCTTTGCAATTGCTTATATTGTTATTTTATAAGCTGCGCAACGTGAAAAATTTATGTCGAAGTCATGGCAACCGATAAATTAACAAAAAAAAAGTTGCGAACTTGCAAGTTGTTATATGCTTCTACAATAAATTAAAATTAAAAATTAAGTTCTTTTTTGTTAAGTATTTAATTTTCATCAAAATTAAATAAGTTGAAAATATTTTTTGTTAGTTGTCATTTCAGTAACTTAAAATTGCTTTGAAATTCATAATAAACTAACTCAAAAATGATTAACTTTCAAAAATTTAATTTTTAACAAATTTTTTACAATTCTATAGTCACTCTTTGAATGTCATTTATCGTTTTAAATTATGCAAAAAGAAGGAACAATTCTGTGTCATATTTGAATATTGTGCTAAGTTATTACTAGCAATACAAGGGATGTAAATATTTTTATTTGGTGAGCATTTGAAGTCTGACCAAAAAAATAATCATTTGTAGATATTTAAAAAAAATTGAAATAAGCCAATTCATTTTCATAAATAGATCACTTTCAAATTCTTCACTTTAATAAGTCTAGTCAAATGAATTGGCAAAGCATTATTTTGCGCAAGTAATCTTAAGAAAAGTTGTTTCTGACTTTTGCTATTAACACAAGTTTATAAATCCTAAACTAATATTTTCATATTTAACTCAAAAATATGTCACTTTCACGAAAGCTTTCTAAAAATAAACAGATAATATGTCAAATGTGAAGCTCTGAAAATGATAAAAATTTTTTGTATGATTTGTTTTCTACTCAAAACAACTCACATTTTGGCAAAAATTAGGTCAGTTATTTTTTTTTAAAACTTTTAACCAAAATTTTAATTAATAATATTAGAAATTGTTTCCTAATTAGTCTTAGCACTATTCGATTAATTTCAATAAAAGCTTGTAACACGTAAGTAAAAAATTCTACACGTAAAAGGTATTATTTATGAAGCATTACTGTTTAATATTTGGCAAAAAAAAAAGTGAAAAAATACTCAAAAAATATTTTAAAAAGTTAAAATATATGTATATTTATGAATTTTCCATTATTGAAACATTCAATTTCCGTTCAAATTATCAAAAATCTAAATCACAAATCTAGTTATGGCTCTCATTTTAACTAACGTCTATTCAAGTGTCACTTAAAGTAATAGTAGCGTTTGTTATGCGCGTTTAGCATCTAAGTACGCAGTCTTAACTAAATACAAAGTTTTTATTAATGACAAAAGTTAATTTACAACATCGTCAGGCCTCTCACTGCTAAAGTTGCTAGTATAAACTTTTCGAATTTCCATACGTATCCTTCATTTCCATACGTTTTCCTTTGGTGCCTGGTCCTGCTTAATAAGCTCAAAATTTGAATTAATAACCTAATTCTTTCAAAATAATCAAACAATATCAATTATTTTTGCATGCAGTGAATATTGTAAATTTATCTGAAAATCGAAGAAATTTCATGGCTTCTCTGCAAAAATTTATTAAATATAATAATAATTTGTTGTATTTTCTAATTTTCAGGCATGCATTATTTACAAATTTCTCAGTCGCCTTTTCAGTTGAAGAATATTCATTATTATTCATTAGAATAACTTATTATATTATAAGCTTAATCTTGCTTTTAGCTGTTAAATCTGTTCTACATAACTGATTTGCTTGCAATATTACTGAAAAAAATTGTTTAGCAAAAAATTCTACCATTTTTGTTAATTTTCTAATGCATTCTTTTGAGAAATCATCAGACAGTAAGCAGGTAATGGAATCTAACGGAAACTTATCAGGTACTAATTATTCATGAAAACTGCTGAATCTTAAAATTTTGTAAAAACTGCTAAATATCAAAATCATCTGCAAAGCTGTGAATCATCAAGTTCTGATAATATTACCAGGTATCAAGAACTTAAAACCACTTTCCTATATTTAAATATTGACAAAATCTATTGACTTCAAGAATAAATTTGTAAAGTATTTTCTAAAATCATCAATGAGAAGCAGTGAAAAACTACTATAGCTATTGCTTATAGATGGATTCAAATCTACAATTTGTACTTACCTCTCACTTCTGATTTTCAAATTTTCGAAAATAAAACGGGTTCACAGGTGCAATTCTGATTTAATTTGGTTTGATTTGATCTAATCTGGTCTATTTGAAATTTGAACTTCATGGATGAGTACAGCAGCGCTGGCAATGAGCTTAATTCATTATCAGTTACTTCAACAAGCACAATCTTACCTTCAAGTACAACTGAATTTGAAACTGCACTTACTGGTCATCTTACTTGTGGTGCTATACTTCTATCTATCATTATGGGAGCAATTTCAATAATTACAGTTATAGGCAATTTAGCTGTGTTACTTTCTTATTATTTGGACAAAAACATTCGTCAACCGAGCAATTATTTTATTTTTTCATTGGCGGTATCAGATTTGGCAAGTTTTACTTTATAATTTGCATTCATATATTACTCTGTTTATTTGATAATTAATCAATGCACTAAAATTAAATTATTAAGATAAATAGTAAAAAAGAATTCGAATATTTTCATTTTTTTCAAGTCATTTTTCGATAGTTTTGGTATCAAATTATTAATTCACCTAATAAATAGCACTTAATAAATATGCTCTTGCAAATTCTTCTGGATTAAAAGCATTTTGCAAATTTTATTACTATTACTTTAGTCTTATGTGCAATGCTAAAGCCATGATAACAAAATTATCAACAATTAGAACATTTTTATTTGATTGGCACTTTTGTGGATAATTTTTTTAGTGCTAAAAAATTGAACAGCAAGTTTATAAAAGTAAAATATAATAGCAAAATGACGCTTTGTCTCATTCTAAATTTTTCTAACACTCAATAATTTCTAGCATAATTATAAAAATTCACGTTAAGCTACGTGAGTTCGTTAGTCTATATTGTATTAACATTGTATAAATTATATTGTAGCAATTTTTTAGTTAAATATAGAGGAGTTTAATTCCAAATGAATTAGCATTGAAATTGATAATTATCTTTTAATTAATATTCTAGCGCGTTCTTTAATGAAGCTATGTTACTTATTAACTACTGATATCTAGATTAGACAAATGTTCATCAGTCTTGAAAGGTTAGTTACATATTATAATGTCCCTAAAGATTGCTAATCTCCATCTTCGAAAAGTATCTTAAATTCAAATTCCTGAATGTACATATATATGTATAAATATATATTCAGAAATTTGAATTGTAATATAAAAGTAAATTAGCAATTTATAAAATTAATTCTAAATTGTTGCTGGGAAAAGTGTTACAAAAATTTTTTAATCATATAACTTATTTACTTAATTACATTATTATCATATCATAAATTGATTACACAACTTTTATTTTTTTCATACTTTTTTATTATTACTCACTAAGAACAATAATATTATTCAGTGATTATATTCAAAAAATGACAGAATTTATATTCAACACGTGTTTTCAATGTCTTACTTATTAGAAATGCACAAATGATAAAATGCAAAATATTTTCACTCAATTGTTAGAATAATTTGCACTTCACGCTTTACTGAAGATTGTGTCAAAGAAGGTAAACTTAATTCTTGGCAAGAAGAGAATTGATGGAGCTGAAGGTTTAACTTCGTTTGAGCAGAAGGAAAGAAGACAAAAATTTGAAGTTTTAGAACAGAAAATTCAAAAAAAAAAATAAGCAAAAATAACTGTCAAAAAAAGTAAAAAGAAAATCTTTTTTACAAATAAATTGTTAGAATTGCTAAAAGCTAAAAAAAGCAAATCTACAAGTAAATTGTCGTTAATGCAATTATTAATTATTTGAATTGTATGCTATTTTACATCACAAAAGCACTTTAAGTAAAAATTAGAAAAGTGTTAAATGATGTCATTTTATTATTTAAAAGTTAATAAAATATTCAAAATAGTAAAAAAAAAAAATTTGTAAAAGTAAAATTAATTAACTTTCTTTTTTCAGTTCAAAATTTGTGGCATTTGAACTTGAATAAAACTTTGTGTAATTTAAAATTTTTTCAAATAACATTTTGATAGGAATAACAACTTTTGCTATTAAATGTCAGTATATTTAATGTTAGTTTTTAATGTAATGCTAGATTTTTTTTAGTCTGCTATTGATATGATTTTTATTTCAAATAAAATCACGAAAAGAGAATACTTTTTAATCTTTAAATTGCTTTAAAATCTCATTAAAAGAGAATCTTTGCAATAGATGCATATTTTATAGCTTAGTATTTATTCAAACTAAAGTTTAAAAATGTTTTAATAATCAATGATGACAATTTTGAAGAAAAATGATTCACTTTATTAATAATTTCAAAAATGAAAAAAATTTTCGCAAAAATTAAATTTAAAAAAAAATGCAAAATAATTTTTTGCTAATTTTTACACCTGTCATATGAAAATTTGCTTTGAAAAACGTAATAATTTCAAATTTTAGCTCGAAATACGAGCAAATTTTTTGTTAAAAATACTTCAGCGGAAAAATTGCAGTACTCATTTTTGCAAGCAGAAGAAGCAAATTTATCCTGCAATACTATTAGCTTAATTTTCAGGCTTAGATTTTTATTTTATAACAAGTCGACTTTTAATTTGAAAAATGCCTTTAATTGCGAAAAAGTTGAATCGAAATTTAAACGTTCTAAGGATGCATTTTGAAAAAATCTTCAAACATTTGAAAAGGCTTCAAAGCTTTTTATTAATTAAAGCAAATTTTTGAATTTTTTTTTCGCATTTTCAACCTTTTTTTAATAGTTTATTATTGAAAGTTAAACGATGTAATTTTTTTCTAAAATTTATTAGGCGAAGAAACAGATAAATAACAAATTAGTAATTTTTGGTCATTGATATTTGTAGAAATTTAGAAAAGTGACTTAAGAGCAAGAAAAGAATTAGTAAAGCTAAAATGAAAACAATAAAAATGTATTATTTTTAAATTTTATTCTTGCTTTAATTCTCAGTGATGTGACATTTTTTATTAAAAAAATTTGCTTAAAATCAAAAATTGATATCAAAAATTATTTTTAAATTTATTTTTAAAATTCTATGCTTCCATTTTTTACACTCTATCATACATGATATTATTGATAATTTTATCAGTTGCAAAAAAAATAATTTGCATAAATTATTGCAAAACATTGTTTTAAGTCTATTATTTAAAATTCATGGAATTCTAGTCGTTCCACAACAGTGTAAAATCTGTAGAGTTTAAAACATAAAAAGCAAGCAGTGAATAAATATTCTTACAGCTCAGTGAACATGCAAATATTTTATGCAATTATTTCAAAAAGCAATCTAATAAAATTATTGAAAATTATATATAATCAAATTACATTTTTGTTTTAATATTCTAATTCAATTTTTTTCAATATTTAAATTCAAATTTGTGTTTATTTTTTTTTCGTTCAATTTTTATTAGTTTGCTTTTAATTTTTATGCAAATGGATGTAAAAAATTCATTAGCATTAGTTATCTGCGCTAATTATGATAATGTTATCACTATAATAACTCTTAAAATAACTGTGATTGGTGAGGTTAATCAAAATTTTATCATTTATCCAAAAATTTAGAATTGATGTATTTTGTTATCTTTTCTATTTAAAAATCAAAACAGTCATGACATGTCCTAACCAAAAATGATTTAATTACGAGAGAAAAAAGTAAGTAATATATGAAGAAAATATGGCAACATCATTTATTTGTATATTGCTTTCCTCGATTTAAATAAAGTACTCAAAAAAGTAAGTAATATATGAATTAAAAATAAGATTGACGAGTGAAACTTTACAAAAATAAATTGAGTTCAAAATAAGTTTTTATTAAATTATAGTTTTCTTAATATTTATTGTTATTTTTACTATTAACATCGATTCCTACTGTTATAGCACATTTCTAATGCATACATAATTAAATTATATAGAAGTCCGAGGGAAAAAATTGTGTCCAAGAAACAGAAAATAGCCTTGTTGTGAAAATAATATGAATCTTGGATTATTTGAGCATTAATTAATAAAAATAGTAAAAAATATTTTAAAAAAAGGGATTAAAATTTTAAAAAAAAATCACAAATTTCAAATTATTTTTTACGCTCAAATTAAAAAAAGAAGAAATAGGCTTATTTACTGCTTGTTCTTCGTGATATAATAATACTATTATCATAATTATTGATGCTATCATTATAACATTGATAGTATTATCAATTCCCATAATTCAAATAGGTTACACAAATTTAGTTTAATGCATTTAAGAAGATTATAAAGTAATTTTAACTAAAGCGGATATTCTTCCATTTTCAGTTCTGTTTATTTTCCCGCTATTGCTCATTTTTTTAAAATGCAAATAAGATGAAATGCGTCATTTGAACGAGAAGAAAGAATTATAAGTTTTCTATTCTCATTTTTCAAATTTTTTTTTTTACTTTTTTAAAAGGAAAAATTTGTTTACTTCCAACTAAATTCATCTTTGCACATTGAAAATATTTCTAAATTTAAAGTTAGTACGTGGAGATATGCGTATCCAACGAAATACCAAATAAAAAACTAACAATTTTAAATAAATAATTTGAAACTTTTTGACTGAAAAATTTTCTCAATTTGTACTGATTAATTCTCGAATGCTTGAGTAATTGACCTAGCAGATGTAAAACTCATTATGAAAATAATAACAGTTTATTACAGCAAAGACAAATTATCATTTCAAATTTAATCCTATGTATGAAAAGTTTTGCAAAAATAATTTGAATATTCGATAACATTTGATAAAATAGAATTATGAAGAGAGAGTGTAAAAATATTATCATTGGTAATTGATAATTTGTAAATCTACAAATGATTTAGAATAAAATTGAAAAGGAAATTAATTAAATTAGTGAGTATTTAGTTATCAATTGATTTCCAGTAATCTATTAATGTTTTTGATCTATTCATAACTTCTAATTTATATTTAGTTGTATGCAATCAACTTTATAATTTATAATTATTCGCATTTATTTCATTGCTTAAAGGTATTAGCTAGCTTGAAATAGCATTAAAATAATGCAAATAATTTTTGAAATAAATTTATTATTATAAATTATTTAGTATAAATTTCTTTGCTAAGTATTTGCTCATCTCATTAGAAATCAATTTTTTTAAACTCAAATTATTATTATTATTATTTTTTTTGTTTAGCTCAATGAATTTAATATATCCTTTTTTTCGACTTTTTTTTTAATTTTTGAAATGTGGAAGTAAACTTTTTTGATTGTCTCTTCTATGATTTTAGCAGTAATCTGTTGCCTTCAAGATTAATTTGCATAAGAAATAATCAAATAATCACTTATGCATAAATTTATGCCTTTCGGAATACTAAAAATTGCATATGAGATAATCAATAAATCGATCAGTTAATCAATACAGCTACATTTTTATATTTGTTACATTTGGTATTTTTTGTGTTC